TTTTTTTTTTTTTTTTTTTTTTTTTGTGATTGGTATCTTAATGTTACCTTTTCCATTCCTCCTGCACTGGAAAGTTTCTGCAAATCCAAATGTTTGCTTAATAATTTTCTAAAGGAACACTGAAAAAGGAGAAAGTTCTGGGAAATGAATTATGCTACAATCATAAGTTGGTCTCCAGCAGAAAGAGATAAGAATCATCTGCTTGGGCTCTCTGGAGGCCCTCAGAGAGCTTTCTCAAAGAAAGTCAATCCTGAGAAGACAGTTAGGCCTCTTATTCTTTTATATTAAAAAGCCTTACAGTTCTCAATCAGGAAGACTATCAGAGGACTCCTACTTCAATGATACATTGATGAAATATCATTAATAGCATTATGGCATGTGGAGAAAGAAGATGTGTACTCCAAACACAATGCAATGTGACGGTAACCTTCCAGACTGCCATATAGCACAAAGGCATGTTGATTAGGAAGTTTTAACATGGTTTTAAAACAGGTCCTATGATCTGAGTTCAGTTTGTCTCCATTTCACTGTAGCAACTGTACGGGCTCCCGCATAGCCACTGCCCATGCATGCTTTGGCCTAAATTCATTTTTGAGAAGCCTTATTCACTGTCATTGCTGTGACTCATGGTTAAATCATTTCACTCATCCTTATTTTCCCTTTTTAAATTTTTTTTAGTATAGTTGGCAATCACATAGCATTCTGCTCTTCTCCCCCTCCAAGGGAAGCTGAGTAGCCCTAACATCTCCAATGCCTTAATGAACTGAAGGTATTCACTGAAAAGAGTGGCACCCACTTCATCAAATCTACTTGATGATAATTTCTTGAAAAGATTAAGACTACTTCTTGGGGATTTTCTAGAGCCCTATGAAAATTCATATTAATTTGTAACCTCAGAGAATTGAAGGTCCCTGCGACTACTAAGACGATAAATAAGGAATGTTGCAGAAATATAAATAGACCAGCACTGAAATTTAATTAGATGCTGCATATGTTAATAATAAATTCAATTAATTTTACTTTCTACCTATATGAGAGGAGAAAGAAACTCAGGCAAAATAATAATTCATTGTAAATGCCTCAACTGGTAACCTCCTTTCCTGAAGAGTGATTTATGCAGTAATTTACTGACTGTGTCTTCATAAGATTGTTCCGAACCAGCCCCTCTGAAATAATAATCAATTCTGAATGTGTGTTGTGAGAGATATAACAAATGACTTCTTATTAATTTTGATTTAATGAGTTACCTATTCACATGGCAATTTTTTTAAAAATTCCCATCTTGAGATAAACATGTTATAAATACTATGGATAACATTTCCATTTTACAAAAATCACAACAGGAAAATCTGTCTGTACATGATTTGAAGGTAAATCAGTTGCAGATTTTCTTTACTAAATAGGCATCTCATTCTTTCCCCGTTATCCCAGATCATTTAAAATGTCTATAATCAAGTGATTTTAAATAGGTTCAAAATGAAAACAGATTATCAGCACCAAAGGTCCTAGCAGGGATAAAGGGCCTGAGGGAGAGGAACCCCAGGGCACGAGTAAAGAAGAAAAGCAGGTAGGATTAGCTAAGGAGCCCAAGACACTGGTCCTTTATTAAAGACAAAAGGCATGAAGATGGTTTCTTGTAGCATTCCTGTTTCCTCAAGTTCCCATTTCACACATACAAAAAGACTCCAGGATTTCCTACATGAATAATGATATTTAAGACTCTTTATTGCTCATGTTTCCAAAATGTTCAGCAGCCAATGTACTTACTTCATGTTGTCATAATAAAAAATAGCAAGAATGAAAAATTAATAAAATAAACCAAAAAAACTAGAAAGAGGAAATGACTACTGAGTCTTAGGTATTTTAAATAGTTCACACCAGCTTAGAAAGTCTTATAACAGACAAATAGACTCTTAAGATAGTTCCTTGAGACAGTTGGGAGAATGTTCTTAAAGTATTCAATAATTCAAATGCAATTGTTACTTACATGAGAACCGAAAGGGCCTCGCTCCTAACCCGCACTGCCTTACACCCTCTCCGTGGAAAAGCCCGTACTGCATCTCACCCATGAATTTGTCCAGCTCCTGGCCTGAGGCGTTGACGAGCAGAGCCCCTGTTTTGCAAAGGATGGTGGCTTTAATCCACAGTGGTGTCCCCAGGGCTGTCACAACTCCAAGAGCACACACAAAGCTTAACACCCCAGCCAAGCAAAAAATGATTTTCTTCTGTTGGTTTGGCATGATGAGAACCAGCTGTTTTGAGAGCGCCGTTCAAAAACAAGAGCTTTGTGTGCATCAAGAAGAGACTGCCTCGATGCCTGAGCTTATTACAGAAGCCAAAGGGACCGCTGCCAGCTGAAAAGGCAACTTCACCGTGGACTGTGGTTCTCCCTGAGATGAAGGTCAGCCTGTGAGGTTTCCTCCATCATTCATACTTGGCCTCTCTCTTCTTGTGTTGCTGCTTCTTCTAAATTGAAATGTTTGAACTAAGAATCTGTAAAATGAAACTGTTTCAAACTACCTTAGAGTAGGTCCTCCTGTGTCACTTGGTAACAAAGGTCTAGGATGACAGATGGAGTCCTCCGTGTAACTTGATAAATGCCTCCTTGCCTCAGCCTGTTGTCTGATTGGGCCAGTTGAAACTTTCAGAAATAGGCTTGACTCTTATGGTAAATTTTCAGCAACTTGAGAAGTTCATCTCTTGATGTGTTTTTCATTTGTTTTTGTTTCTGGTGGGGGAGAAAGAGAAGGTTTTGGGAGAGGTAGAAAGAAGTTGCCGAAGAGTAATCGAGTTTTAAAATTTTAATTATAGCAGGATAAATCTACTGCACTGCACTGGGTCCTGCGTGGGTATGAGTCACCCTGAGCACCACAGGGCTTGTCTTCCTACCTGCATCTCTCAGATCCGTGGCTAAGAAGTGATGTACCATCAGAGAAAGGGATTTAAGCTCTTCTTGGAATAATTTGAAAATGTGGTGATGTAAGCACAAGTATATGGATTTCTAAGCGCTTTCCTTTAAAGCATTTGGCTGCTTCAGTGTCACAGAAAGGAAGTGGGCTCTGGGTCTAACAAGTCCCAGAAGGAAGCACCGGGGCAAAGACAAGGAAAGGCATTTCAGTGGAAAGGGATTGCAGTTGAAAAAAAAAAAAAAAATTTACCATAGAGGAAGAAGGAAGACTAGCATTTAGAGAGACAAACAACAAAGTCAGGAGCAAGGTTATGTAGCAAAATGGGTTTGTTTAAATTGTGAAAAGCAGAAAACTAAGGCTCAAAATTTAGTGACAGCTTCTTTATTCTGCTTGTTCCATGATGTTTCCCCCTCTACAAATAGACATAGGACTGCTGTGTGTGTGTGTATGTGTGTGTACACACATGTGTATGCACACGAATGTATGTAATTATTCATGGAACATCTGTTGATCTCTGACCTACAAAGTTAATTTTTAGTATTTGGTGTGTTATTAAATTCTTAAAATTCCATAAAGTGATGTACAAGATGATGATCACTATATTCCCATTTCACAGATAAGAAAACTGAGATTAGAAAGATCAGGCATCCTGTCAAAAAGGATAGGGCATCTGAGATTCAAATAAAGGTCTTGGAAATCGAGGTTTATGTGCTGCTGGAAGCAAAGCCCCTGACCTTGAAAGTTGGCAGTGCTTCATTTGGGGCTCAGCGACCCATATTAGTTATACATTTTGGGTTTTGGAAGAACACAGATATCTGCCAATAGAACTTTCTAGTTGGCCCAGAACACACATTTATTCTAGGCTCTCCTCTCTTTATCTACCCCTGATCATATTGGCTCAGAAGAAATTAGTAAATGAAGATGCACTGCACACCTTTGTCAAGCATAAATGAGTCTCTATCTTATGCACACATCGACGGGAGCTTGGAGGGAGTCTGGGAGCACAGGTGAGCTCTGCCACACAGCTTTCCCCCCTTGGTAGTTGCTTATGCCTGACTTTCAAGGAGAGACAACTGTTTCAAAAGTGCCAACACCAGGGCACCTTGAGGGAGAGAGGAGGGCAACGCAGACTACCATCGCAGAAGAAATGGGCAGATAGAGCCCAGGAGGCACTCAAAATAAGCTTTAAAACATAAGCATATGTATTTCAAGACTTTAAGTTTCTCTGTAACTTGACACACGTAAGAGCAACACAACTCAGATTGTTTGGCAATCTAGTGTTTCTTCCCTTGTATTTTTTAATTTTTAATTTTCGTGATACTGGGGATTAAACTCAGGGCCTTGAGCATGCTAAGCAAGTACTCCACTACTAAGCTACAGCCCTAGGCCCTCCCTTGGATGTAGAGTAATAGTCACCATAACAAAACAAGATGGCACCAGGAACTCCCAATAAGTGCTTACCTAGGGATATATATATATTCCACCCACTGTAGAAAATTTAGTTCAAGATGTCTAAGAAAAGTTAAACTTACTAAATCAACATATTGGAAAAGACAGAACATTTATAAAGTGAAGGAGCAACAACTACTTATCATTTAATAGTACTAATACCCCTACAAAAAGGCTGTGGCAAGAGAGGAATGCTAACACAGGACAGTAGTTTAATCAACCAAAACTGAGTCAAGTGGGCCTGAAGCTGTCCAAAGAAAGAGGAAAGTTTTGGCTGTGAATGCAGAAAGCAATTTGATCACATCAGTCCTTAGGTTTGCTTTAATCTATAGTGAAGTGATTGATCATTGGCCTATGGAGTCATGAGAAAAATAAATAGGACATGGTGAGTTAATCTTGCATCTTGAAGTTACATCCTTTCTAATGCTTTTTCAAGCATTGTCTTTTTAATGAAAAAAATTTTTTTTCAAATTGTCTTTTTTAATGAAATAATGGTAGTTCAATTTTTTTTTTTTTTTTTTTTTTCAGAACCAGGGATTGAACTCAGGGCCTCGCACTTGCCAGGGAAGCACTTATTCCACTGATGGTAGTTGAATTTTTAATGTTCATACTCAACAACCTGAAAACTTGTCCAAGCCTCACCCTTCATACTTCCCAGTGGTTCTTAGCTTTGACTGCACACTGGAATCGCTTGAGATTTAAGAAACACTGGCGCTTGCATCCCCATCCCTGAGAGTCACATATGCAGATTTTTGAGTGTGGACTCAGCCCTGAAGCACCCCTGGCGACTGCAACGGGCAGGCAGGTGGAAGGCCACGGCTCTCAGCCACATAGCACCCACTGATCACGCTCTAGGCTTTGCAAGTATTTCATGGCTGCGGTGCATTCAGCACGAAGACCCCAGCCACCAGAGCAGCGGGTTCTCACAGCACATTAATAAACAGGCACCGGCACTAATAGCTCAAACTTCTTCCAGCTTTTCAGAACCAAGAGCATGATGTCCTCTAAATGTCCCCATGGGCTAGGTCTCAGCCTATCCAAGACTAAAGACCAGACCTGGGATCACAGCTTTGCCCCCAAATTTCCACGTGAATGTCAGCTGCGATGTGTCCCGGTCACATGAGGCAGCCCCCTAGGGTCCATGCCCACCTCACCCCTTCTCTGCACAGCTTCCTTTCAAACTTCAACATCAGCCACCCACAGGCCACATAGTAGTGTGTGATCCACCCTCTGAGGTGATATAATGGAGCCTGGCAGTCATTATGCCTGACAAGCTTCTTTTGAAATTTCATCTTTACCGGCTTGACTGACAGTGATGACACCATTTTTCCTGCAGTCTCTCAGAGAATTTGAGTCATTAATGTCAGCAAGTTTTCCCCAAGCATCCTGCTGAAGCCTTTCCTTCTCTCAACCCTAATAGGAATACATTTGGTGACATAAGGAGATGGAGCCAGGCCCCCCTCCCCCCTCTTCCCTGTAACTCCTCGCAGTACTGAAGAATGATATAATTTTCCAGAGTGACTGGAGACTGCAGAGAAAGGAGCACAATGCAGACTCTGTTTCCAGTATAGTATTCTAGCCTCTTCTCATGCTAATTTGGCTGATTTTCATTTTCCTTATGACAATTTGAAAACAAAAGCAAAATGAAAATAAAAGGCTCAAGCCAAATGCAGGTGAATTCTCATCGGATTGTTGCTTCCCAAGTGATATCATGGTAGACGTGGGGTGGAAAAATGAGATACAGGGTCTGTTTGGGGGCCTGTCATTCAATCAAAAATTCCTCCATTTTTCTGGCATTCGCTTTATGTATTTATGAAAATAGTAGTCAGGGCCACGAAAGTGATTCTCAAATCATTGCAAAGCAGAAAAGTCATTTCCTTAACAGAACATTAGGTAAAGTAAGTGACAAAAATTGAGCTGCTATACTGACATGGGTAGCTGGTCTCTCCCTGGATCCTGAACTTCTCGCTCCCCATCCTCAATTCTGAAATAAGTGCTGAGAAGCACGGCTTGGATCCTTTAGCTTCCTCTGACTAAAGATCAGGGAAGAGGGCAAGGAGGAGAGAGAGCGAGGAGGGAAGCAGAGGGGTTGAAAATCACTGAGATTTGTGTGTGTGCGTGCGTGCATGTGTGTGTGTGTATACCAATACTCCAAAATGAATGTAAATGTTATGGACTGAGAACATAACATATCTCAAAAAATTAAAGCACATTAAATTATAAGCTATGAAACTAAAATTTGTCCATTTACTAGATTATTTTGTCCCTTTTCTTTGGTGTAGTAACCTATTAGCTGTTATGGAATATTACATTACCCAGGGACACTGCTTGGTTGATTATTCCAATTATTAATTTTCAGATTATTTAATGAGAGGTTCTATATTTTGTCTGATTTGTCACTAGTGGGGCTGATTTTGATTTTCCTCCAAATGGATCATTATACTCCGAGGCCTCTCTAACAGAGATTCAACAAGGGTCTATCAAGCTTCCCATTTTAAGACAAGAGGCCTTTGTAAATCTGTCCCATTTTTCTCATCTTTAAAGCAAAATCTGGCAACTTTGATTGACGTTCCTTGACTAATTCAAGTTGCTGGTGATCCTCAAGTAGCATTGTAATTCTCTAATGACTGTAAGGGGGAAAAACACTCCATGGAAAGAATTGATTGATTTATTAGAGGGAAAATTACCACATGTGCTGGAGCTTGATTGCAGCTAATATTTGTAGAGTTAATTGCTTGAACTGCAGGATTAAAAGGATTGAAGGAAGGGAAGAAAAAGAAAATAAAGTTCCCTTGGAATACAGATGAACCCAAAGTGGATTTTGGGTGAGGGAAGATTCAGGGCAGGGGTTTGAAGAGCTGCTGCTGGTTGTGGGGCCAGTTTATGAAAGTGGAAGCGCTGGGTCTAATAGAACAGTCAGGGAAACAGCAAGGATGGAGGAAAGTTGCTGCTGATGTGACCCATTAAATAAGATGTGGTGTGATGCCTTTAGATTGTCTAAATTTTGTCTTATTATCTCACACCAAGGCTATGCTGGTACTTAAGAACAACTCAGTAGAATGTCTAAGCT